CAGGAATGCTAGCACTACTGAAATGGATCTGGATGATAAACCCAGAGGCAAAACTCACAGATGCTGGGGAAGTTCTGGTTAGGATTGAAACTTCACGGCAGATCTCCATTTACAATAGGCCAAACTAAAATACCTGCAGTGAACCCCTGTACCCTTGGTTCAGTACTGCCAACCCCAGGGGTTCCATTCCTATGGGTCAAACACCCCGCACAAAATCAGGATAATTGCTAAAACATCCCAGGATTTTCAGAAATAGTAAATGTTAGGTTTTCTTCATTTGATTCTGGTTTTTTGAGTCTTTAGGAGTCATATTTTCTTGTTTTTCTCCATAAGGTGGATACTAAAATAGTCCCTTTTCTCATGTGAACTGAGATTCTCATATAACCACGTCTCCAGAAGCTAGGACTTAAGAGAAGCCCAAAAACTCAACATTAAAACTTAAAGAGCTTGTAAACTGGCGGCTGTACACATATAGGTCACATTCAGATGTACAAGCACGTGGTGCCACAAACCGAAAGTGTTGCACGTTAAACTGAAAGAGGTGCGGGGGCAAAATCTGCTACTGGGATTTCCTGGTAGTAGCCCCCCCCCGAAAAAAGGTGGCACAAAGCATGCAAAAATTGCACATGCTGGGATAAATGCAGAGACGGGGGGGCAGGCAGCCCTGGGCTGCCTGCTTCCCCATCTCTGCGTACTGCTGAGCCCCTGGGCTGAGGCACACTGCCCCTCAACCCGCCCTGGAGCAACTGGCTGGGGGGCAGCGTGCCTTGTGACAGGGGAAAAGGCAGCCCTGGGATGCTGCTCCCCTGTCTCCACATGCCTTAGTGCAGGGGCTCCACTGTGGAGCCCCCACACTGAGGCACGTGGAGACGAGGGAGCAGGCAGCCCAGGGTTACCTGCTCCCCCATCTCTGCGTGCCACTCCCCCGCTGGCTGGGGTGCAGGGTACATCAGTGTGGGAGCTGCCTGCTGGCTAGCCCCACACGGAAGCACACTGTGTCCCAGCCAGCCCCCTCCACCAGCTGGGGGCCAGGAGGAGCTGGATATGGCCTGCAAAAAAGGGTATATGCAGGAGTGTGCGCTGAGGCACAAAGCAGCAGCACAAATTTGTTTTGCTGCAAGCGCGTGCTCCTGCTCGTCTGGACGCAGCCATAGATACTACTGTATGTGCAATTCCATGCTCAATACTCTATCACTGCATGAGCCAAAGTGGTAGCACTGTTATAGAGTGTAAGAAGCTTTTCCTGTCACACAAGTCAGTCACTAGAGGGAGATAATCAGATGCATTACAAACACTTACTCTTGTGCTTAACTTCAAGGGTGCCTACAGATGTGGGGAGAAACCCCCCCCAGAGCTTTACGTTCAGCTAGGCATGCCCCCACACCAAGTGTAGCACATTCCCAGAAGAGAAATCGTGTCAGTTTGACCCGGCTCGCCCAGTGTCTGTATAGCGCATGTGCTTCAGCAGGGCTTTTTGGCACTTATCTAAAAGCTGACTGAATCCATTGAACTGAATCACTGATTGAAATTAAAGATTTTTTTTTGCAAAAATTTTGCTGGTCTAATAAAAGATAATCACACCTCTACCATGAGCCCAGACTGCTTTTTATTTTAGACCAATATGGCTACAACCTGGATACCTGCTGCAGCATGTGAGCTATACAGACACTGGAAAGCTGGGTCAAACTGATGCAATGCCTCTTCCGGTAAAACACTGAGAGGGGGGATGTCCATGTCTGTCAGCACCAAGTGCCTGATATACTCCATTCACTTCAACAGGGTTATGCATCAGCTTAAAGTTAAGAACATAAAAACAAGTGCTTTCTGGCTAGGGTTAAGGCAGTGTATTTTAGGAAGCCCCTTTCACTCTTGAGTCTGGTTTTGCACAGCACAGTTTGGGAACATGTCAGTTACTAATCTTTCAACAACCTATCTGCTCTCCTAAAAGTTCAACTGTATGGGGCCTCACAGGGTCCCACCATCACCGGGAAAAGGGAAGGGGTAGTGCATGAAACCCAAGCAATGTACTGAATGTGATGCATCACCCCTCTGCTCTCTTCTACCCCAATCCCTGCGCACAGCACACAAACCAGCTTGGTAAAACTGTCCTTGCTCCAGGTAGAGACAGACAAGTCATTGGTGCCTTACCCTGATAAGACGCCCAGCACCAAGTTGAGCATGAAGAAAGAGCCAATGATGATGAGAGGGATGAAGTAGAGCCAGTTCCAGGTATTTCCTGCTGCATCATTGGTCTGGAAACAGAAAGAAAAGTAGTTTTTAATCAAGTTCCCAGAAAGTCAAACATCCCTCATAAAAGACCTGCAGTGCAAGGGGCAGTGGACTTCCACAGGATAGCTTTCACCCCATGCCATTATTAATTAGCACTTTTCTATGTGCAGGACTTGAAATGAAGTCTGGAATCCAAGTAAGAGAATTCATTGAGCAAACAGCATTGGCTTAGTTCTCATTGTACTGTGCATGAAGTGTCCCTGTCACACAACTACTACCAACTCCAGAAAAAAAGAGCCATCTCTGATTGAAAGGACCATAAGCCTGAGGCTTAATACCCACTTAAATTAACTAATCCAGTCATTCCCCTTTTTGGAGATGGAGAAACAGTCCCTCCATTCCAATATCCCCCCTTTCCACCGAACGCTTGAGTTACCCGATGTTACATCTGAATCAAAACATAAAACAAGATGAGGAAGATGCGGTCTTCTGTCAATTTATGCATTGCATGCAATTAATGCAGCATGCAGCAGGGTGCCCAGAATTCACACATATCCACAAAAGAGAAGTTGACAGAAAGACTGCAAGAAAATGAGGTCAATTTGATCTTCAGAACAATGCCAGCTTCACACCTGCTTACTCAGCGCTTTGGAACTCTGTCATCAAACCCAGGCTTTCAAACTCTCTGCATAAGCAACTACATGTATCTTGGAAAGGAAAGTTAGTTTATGGCAAAGTTTCTGCATTCTTTGATCACAAGGGAGTTGTTGTTTAAGGAACTGCTGAAAAATAAAATGCCATGTGGCCACAATCCAAGCCAAGTGCCTGGAAAACTTCAGCTTTTTTCTCTTGTAAACGAAAATGCAGCAACTTTAGAATCAGCCTATTGGGCATTTAAAGGTAAAAAGCATAGGAAATCTGCGTCGGTCCATCTGCAGTAGTTAAAGAATAACAATTCCATCATCTCTAACACAGGGGCTGAAATGCCCGATGGCCTATAAACAGCACTTGCCAGCTACTTCACAAAAGTGTCCACACAACCGCTGGTTTGAACAAAACCCCTTAATTCACTTTGACATAGACCCTCTAAGGACAGAAGGAGGAAGGACGGAAGGAAGGAGGGGAAATGTAAAGAAAGGAGACAGGAAGCAGCAGCAGGTAGAAAGAGAAGCAGAAATAAAACAAACCAGTTGTCCCAACCATAAAAGCAATTAAAAACATGCCCTTTCCAATAGATGTCAGCCTCTTGCTGCCCTGTATTTTCCCTTCCTTTGCAGTTTTCTTATCTTTCTCCACTTTTCCTCTTTTTTGCATTTAGTTCCGTCTTTTCAGCTCTCCTCCCCTTTTCTCCCTTGCCCTTGCTCAAAATTGTTTTGAACACACAAGGAAGGTGTGCAAACACTTACATCATTATTCAAGTTTCTATTCCCACATGCTTTGGCTATGCTGCTAGTATTGATATTAAACGGTAAGTGACTGATGAGAGAGTATTAAAAGTCCCCTCTTGTGCTGCATTTATAGCAAAACATCAGTCTATGACAGCATAAGCTAAAGAACTTTGGCTCTTTAGCCCAAGCTGTAGAAGCTCATGTTTTTTCCTTTGGAGGTCCCATTTGACCAACATGACAACTGTCGCAGCTGTACCTAGAGTGACTTCTTTCCCAATGGCAGGCCACAGCTGGGAATTGGAGTTGCTCAGCCCAACTCAGGCAGGAGTAAAAGGGGTGAGTTGGGGTGGGGGAGCAGAAGCTGGAGCAGGAAGGAAAGGAACAGATGGCAGAAGGAAATCCATATAAACTCATATGGAGAGTGCATGATAGGTTACAGTGCTGCCAAATGATCATTTATCATTTATTTATTCATTTGAAGCACAAGCTTGGTGACAGATCCATGCTTCAATTCCATGATCAAAGCCTTTCAAGCAGAACATGTAGAAAAGAATCTAATTAAACATCTTCCTCTGGGTGTTTGCACAGTTACCTTATGCTCAGGGCTGGGCTGGGCCTCGCTCTGTGCTGTCACATGCACAAAGGGCTCAAGGTGCTGGCAGAACTACACAAGAGAGAGGACAACGTACTCTAGGAATCTTCCCCTGTAAGGGTAGATTTTTCTTGTAAGCAGAATATATTTTTTCAGTGGCTCCAAAATTACTTGAGTCTGAACCCATTCCATGGCACCTCTTCTGCCCTGGTGATATGCTTTAATAAATCAAATTGTTGCACTGCCAGGAAAAACAGAACTGCCAACCCTCAGTAAAACACTTTGTAGCCTTGCAGCCACATCTGAGATTGCTGAGCAGAGAAGGGCATCGCTCCATGAGCAGAGCAGCTGGGCTTGCCTCACATCCCGGCTCCAGTCCTGCTCATTAAGTGGGGGAAGCCAAAAGATCAAATCAATTTTTATGGTTCCAGCTAAAATACTTTATTAGTTTAATGTTTGGCTGCCTGTTTCTGATGCACAGCCCCAGCCATGCATCTCACTTGATAGGGAAGAGCTGGAAATAAAAGACTTTTAATGATGTGACAGTATTATATCAAAATGCAGAAGGGAACTTATGAAAGACTCACAGCATCCTCATCACATGCAAACATCTGCGATACTCACATCCTCTGCAGCAATGATATAGCATGTTAGGAGCACTATTTGAATAATCCTTATGTGCCTACCAAGCTATGGACCCTTCGCCAACAAGCGATCTGAACACCTTGTAGTCATACTGCCCCTTCGAGTGAAAGAACTGCTTTGATTCTCATTATTCACATGGGAAACTGAGGCACAGCTTTCTCATTCAGTGTGTAAAAGATATTCAGATGAACCGCCATTATTAATTCAAATCAGATGCTTTCCTGCTCCACCATTTTTGCCATTCACCCTAAATGATCTTCTCTCTCTCAGGTCAGCATCCCCTTAACTTCCTCTCCTTTCTTGCCATTTACTGGCCACAGTGCTGCTTGAACCAGCCAGCACCACTGGGAGTAGATTTTTACCTTCTGCTCATTAGTTCTTTGCGTTATCTGTAATACATTCCTGAGAGCAACATTCTCCCTCTTTCCTTTTATGCAGATCTAAGCACGCTGGTAACAGTCAACAGGTAACATCTAAGCTGACCATCTACTCTGTGGCTAGGGACAGACATTACACATAAACTGATTTAAATCATCAGAAACTGGTTTAAACCTGTAACAAACTTTCAGTGCACATAAATCAGTTTCAAAATGGCTGAAATGGGTTTAAGATAAACCTGGCTGAATGTAGTATCAAGACTTAATTGATTTGGATCAAACCGGTTTATGAAACTTCTGCCCCAGACCCCTTCCTGGTTTAAGTTAAATTGCAGTCCCCCAGCATCCCAGCTGGGCTGGGCTGAGCTGTGCTGTCTACTCCAGCAAAAAAGAGTTATGAGGGGAGAAGGGGGGCAGGGTCTGTGCCCCCCAGACAAATCGTGGCTGGGATCTGGGGCCAGGAAGGTGGGTTAAACCCTCCTTCCCTTGAGTACAGAGCTGCCCTGCCCTGCTCCACTGCTGGTTGCAGCTGTGGACTACAAATCCCAGAGGCACCTGGAAACAGGAAGAGGTAGTAATGAGCAACCCTGCAGAGTTCTGCTGTTGTAAATCTGGACTACAAAAGGAATAGGAAGCAAACACACAGTCCATGCTGGCTACGTGCCAGAGAACCATGCTCTAGTGCCCCCCTCCCCCCCGGCTCTTGGCCTGAGCCACTGCAGTCATGTGGCTGCATTTCCTGAATCAAAAGTAAATGTCTGTCCAGCTGCTTCTCAGTTTAATCTCTGCATCTTAGACTAAACTTCAAAGACTGAACTGATTCAGCTTCAGGCTTTTTGACCATCTGTACTTAGCCTGTAAGCCCTATGCTCAACTCCTGATAGCAGGATGTCCTAACCCTGGAAGCTCTGTTGAACATCAGGGTGCTAAGATGACCTCGCCTCATTCTGCAGTTTGTCTAGAACTTACCCTGGTGAGCAGGAAGCACAGGAAGTCTGCTTACAGATACCCCACCATTCCCTGCTCTTGACATCTGGGACTTTTGCATTCCACTTCTTCTGTCTACGGCCCATAAGTAGAGAAAGGCCCAGAAAGAGAGAGAAATAGTTTGCAAACTAATTCACAGAAGATAACTGAAAGGGATCCTGGGATACATTTTAGTACCATGCTCAAAATATAAGAATCACAATGCGGGTGACTCTGGTACGGGCTACAAACTATGCCACAGCAAGGGAAAGGTAGTTTAGGAGGTCAAGCTGATCGAAGACAGCCCCAACCTGACTCCCCCACTGACAAAAAACAGTATTGAAGTTGCTTAGTAAGTATAGGATGACTCCCAGGTGACTTGACTGATATCAAAGAAAGTTTGGAATTAAATAAAATTCACACATTCCTATCACCCAGACCTGTTCTATAGCCACTAGATCATTGGCCTTGTTCCACTGGCAAGATGGCAGTCTCTGTCTGACTGCTAATTCATTCAAAATTATGTCTTAAAATAATTTTCTTGAAAACAAGTTACTCTTCCAGCTGCAGCAAGTAGAAGCCCTTTTATGCCACCCTTCAGCTTTACCTTTTATAACCTGAATCTTGAAGCATGTTCTTGGACACAACCCCACTGGTGCTTCCATGACACAGAAAATGCAAGACGACAGAACCCGCAAATCCAGCTGTGCTGAGAGGAGGTTGTCATTGTTACCAGTGTGTCTTGCCACTGAGCAGAAGTGACGGGTATGTTCAGTTCAACCCGGTTGCAACAAGCATAAGATGGGATTTCTTCTCCAGCCAACACAGATCAGCAGTGACCTGCCTGCTCAATCTGATCTTCCCTACTCCATGTATGTCATGACAGGGAAATGTTTTCCCTCTAGGGACCCTGCCTACTTTCAGTTCTGTACTTCCTCTGGTGGAGGGGAACACCTGGGAAGCTTAACAAATCTCAGCATAGCAGCTAAATCCCATATTCCATTTACTTCAAAACAGCCATGATCAAAGAGCGCATGCCAACACTGGTATAGAGA